GCAAAATAATTTGCAGTAAGTTTGGTTCGAGTACAGCTGCTCGCGGAGGTACTTGCACAATGATCGCATTGTCTTCATCCTCTCCAGACTTACTTACTGATGATGATGACCACGGCAATGCCACACCGTTCGCATCAAAGACGGTGAGGTGGGCCGCATCAACGTTAGCGAGTTTGTTCGGACACTTGGCCTTCACCGCATCTCTTAAAGCAGCAACATCTTCGATATCCACGACAACGGCGTCAGCCGACATCAGGTCATTGCCGTTCTCGTCCACGAGCTGGAACCATTTCCGCGCCATCGTTCAATATCACGCGGCACCTTCTTGAATGAAAATAATGTGATGTTTCCTTTCAGGTTATTTCTCAGTAGCTTTCAAGTAATAATAAGAGGTTACAAGAATTATCTTATGGAAACAACGTTTGAGGTTTATGTACATTTAAGGAGAGAACGCTAATGAATTAAAAAGTGAAATAAACCTACGCCATTTTTTCATAAACGCTAACATTTAAAGCTGATGGAATATCAGTTGAGGAGTCTTCATGCTTCTCTTCTCTTCATTCTCGAACTTGCCGCGTGATATTCAGTTATCTAAATTTAAGACAACAAAATAATGCAATACAATGCCGTAATAAATGTAACTTTATCCGTTAAGATTAATGCAAAAATAGGTTATTGTGACAGTCATTCTAGCACATTCGATTGGAATTAGATTGAAGTCCTTATACACTTCAACGGATTCATTCACACATACGATCCTGACTTTGTTGTTGATGAAACGAAGTTTAAAGGCTTCAAAGCGCAGCGAGGCTGCCGTCGCTGTTTCACTTAGATAAAGCTTGGTTAAGCTCGGTGACCTTCGTTCTATACTTACAAATGTAGCGGAGAGTAATTACAACCTTAGCCCAGGGCTAATTAACTCTTCCATTTTAAACGTAAATTATGTTTTTTGCGGCAAAGCCGCCCATATCTAAGCTTATATCTTACTATACAGTAATACCTAATCAAATGTATAACTACTGGCTGTTCCAGATCTATCTAAAACCTTCGGTTTTTCTAGTTAATATAGCCATACCTAATTATTATAGTGAAATCTAATTTATATGCATTACTACTGGCAGTAGTGGCTTCTTGGTACGGTGTAGCCACACCTTTGTGTAACAACACCACTTGTGAAATCCACACCTTTGTGAGGTCACACCATCTTGTGTAGTCGCGGCTCTGGTGCAACTCAAACAATTACATAGAGTTTCAGTTTTGAACGGAAGAGCGTCTTTAGCTTTGATAAGGATTTAAGTGCTCTTGGAGGTAGCGGATTGCCATCCGCTAAACTCGTTCCGGTTTTTGAAAGAAACGTAAGGTTGATGACCTTAACTAAGCTTCCTCTACGCAAAGAGCAACAGCAGCCCCGCTGCACCGGCCAAATACCGACTTCTTCATTTATGTAGCCACGCCATTGTGAGGTCACACTATCTTGTGTGACACACACCCTTCCTACCGGGGCACGTGAAACCCCGTTACATCCAGCCTCGCTGGTTCCGAGAACGCCCGGGGCAGAAACCGTCATCGTCTTCTGCACGCGGTGCGACTTCGGACAGCACGTTCGCGGCTTATAGTGCAGCGCAGCCCAAGCTCTCGGTAACCGAGTACCGCACAGCGTATTGTCAGGAACAGGGTCGAACGACCAAGAACATAGACGCGATGTCTACTCCAGACCGCGCACAGCGCCAGCCACGGGCGATGGTCTACCAACGTCGAGGATTTTGAGGAATTCGACTACGAGTCAGATACTTTTTTACCAGGATGGGAAAAAGAAGAGAGCGAGGAGTCCCAGCGGCGCCACGTGAGCCCTACCCAATCCTTGCGAACGCCGTGTCCATTTCCCGAACTCTCGACTTCCAGGGGGAGTGGTGTCATTGTCGATGGCAAATGAATGAAAGTGGTGTCATTACCAATGAAAACGAGGCACAGAAGCAGCAGCTGAATGCTGTCCACAGGAAAGCCCCCATCCACGCGCATCCACGGTCGGTATTTGACCCTCGTGTGGAATCCGGCTTCCACTCGGCGGATCCCGCTACAGAAGCATAGGACGCGATCATTGGGCGTCTACGTTATCGGATCCTCTCCCACTACACAAACTGAGCTTTGCGAACGAAAAGCTAAAACGAGCTCGCTTCTTGGTTCCTCAAGAAATCTCCGTAAATACGTGCCTGACTCGACTTCGTGCTCAAAGTAGAGGCGCTCCTGTATACGCGATGCAAACGATTCCTGTGGCGCTCACCCCTGAAGAAACCGCTGCAGATGATGAATTGCTCTTTGAGCTATAGGTGCAGCGGTACCAAAACTTTCCTTGCTGTACAGCTTACCGGTGAGCCACAAGGAGGTGAACGCGCGCTTGAAACGCCATCTTCGGCTTGAGTTTGCCAAACTCAAGGCGCGCCGTCGACAATCTTCGGATTGTCTCCCTGCCACGTATAGGTTGTTCCATCACGCTCCCGCGAGCTTTTTAGCCTGTCAGACGGGTGAGGCTGCGACTGCTGCCGCCCAGGACCATAACTTGAGTTCAGATTATAGCTCTTCGGCTTGCCTGGCTATTGCCGAAAAGTACAACGCTGCACGTCATGATTACTCTGGACAAGAGCATCCACGACGACTGGGCAGTCTTGTCGAAGTGACACTTCAAACTCCTACGAGTTGTTGAAGTCGGTGTATCTTCGCCACTTCACGAGGTAATGGGTTTGATACTGGCGACGACGTTGACCAAATAGACATTCCACGTGATAGTAGATTCCATCATTGTTGTTGAGAAGCGTCGGCGGCGAGCGATGACGACTGGACCGATCGCCGTCCGGTGACTCGCGATGCTCCTTTAGCTCTTGAGAACAAGGTCCGTCGCGATTAGGACTCCACTAAGTGAGATGATACCGCTGCGCGGAAGACCTAGAAAGCGTGGAGCACGTAGTCCACCGGCTGTCTCACGTTGAGGACTATTGCGCTTTGTCAGAGCAGCTTCTAGCCGTTGTGCAGACGAATGCGTCGCTTCATACAAAGGTGCAGCGCTTGGTGCCGTTGGAGATGGAGATCGTTGCACTTCGTGCTCAAAATCAGTTGCTGGTCCCGCTTTTGCAAGGTCGAGCGCCTGCGCAGTGGCCGACGCTTTCGCGTTCACTTGCGTTGGATTTCGGTGCGGCCCAAGCAAGCCCAGATTTACACCGGGTGGGTGCGCTTCAAGTTCGGAGGGTATAGCTTATGCACAAGGCCCCGCTTGGTCAAATTTTTTAAGGTCCGATAAACCGCGGACGGAGCTTCATTTTAAAGACAGCAGAAGTCGAATGGGTAGGAATGCTTTAAAAATTTTATAAAGTAAGGCCTCCTACCTCAAGATTTTTAACATTTCTTCTACCTCTTCCGTCTGCATATTCTTTCTGTGTGTCTCGGCTTTCAGCCATCGCATCGCAAACGTGTTGTAAGTACAAAGTAGGGTAGACTAGAAGGCATCGACTTCATTTCGGAGAGTGAGAAAGCTGACACCAGTTAGCCGCTTGGCAATGCCTCCCCCACCAGCCTTGAACCATGGGATGGCGGTGTCAGCGGGACGCGAGGATGAACGAGCCTGTTCACGTAGAACGGCGTGCGCGGTAGATGGATACACTGCATTGTTCAGAGCAAACTCTTCGAGTGGTAGCATGGCGCTCCAGGACTCAGGGCAGACGCAACAACAAACGCTATCACTACGTGACACACGCGCTCAGTTTGACCATCGATCCGCAGATGGTCCGCTGTTACAATGTTCAGCTTGGTGCCAAGACCTTAAGGTCGTCGACCAACACTTTCCAGCGAAGCGTGGGCTAAAATCAGAGACAATTGACTCCGGTAGTCCATGTGGTCAAAAAGCCACGATCCACAAACAGCGTCGCTGTACCGACAACGTTGGCGTTGTTCGGCTCTGCCGCATAATACACCATATTGCTTTTTACGGTCCAGAAAGACCATCACACTCGTGGTGCCCGCTAAGTCCTTAGGAAGGCCAAACACAAAGTCCAAATTTTTGGACTGCCAACACCCGGAGGGTACCGGCAAACTGGCCAGCGAGGCCGCCGCATTCGGCACCCTTTGACACGTCTTACACGTGCGCACATAGCCGCTTGTCCATTTGTACAGATTAAGCCACAAGTAGAAACACTGTAGGTTTTCTCACGACCAAGATGACAAATGAGTGGGGTGTCTTGAACCTCATAGAGGATACAGTACTCTAAATCCTCATCGTGAGGAAAAATAATTTGTTGCGTGTCCGTCGAGTAGTTGAATACAGTAATTCACTCTTCGCTGAAGATCGGTGCAATTGTGGTCGCACTCCCGCCGACAATCTCTTTGTTGCGTTTCCAATCTCCTTGCTCTCGAGAGCTTGTAGAAGCGCCATCACCCGCTTCAGCGGCGCGGAGCAATTCCGTCACTGACGACGTCGCCTTCGTGACGTGAGAATTTCATAACATGGTCTGCGTGTCAACGCATGAGTCTAAGCATTCTGCATTTCTGGCTTATACTTCATCTCAAAGTAATATTCTGCAAAGAAAGAGAGCCTCTTCTCCTTCTTAGGGCCAAGCAGGGCATCAGTTTTTAAGCCCTTCCTGCATGCCTGGGACAAATAGAGGAATTGCTCCATTATTACAGAAGATCAGTCGTAACGACTCAAGAGTATATTGACTACGAGTGCAACCATGTGGAACGGGGCTGCCGTAGCTCTTTGCGTAGAGGAAGGTCACCGACCATACGTTCTATAATAGATGCATTGCAATCTGCTACACTCCAAGAGTACCCAAAACTTTGCCCAAGCCAACACACTCATCCGTTCGAAATTGACAATCAATTGAGTTTTTTATTTGCGGCGGAGCCGACTAAATCAGAATCTTTAAGTTTTCTTAATTAAATAGTAGAACTCAATTCATATTGGCAGTCCCGCCAAGTAATGGCTTCTTGTTACAATGTAGCAACACCATTGTGTTATTACATCGGCTTGTGTAATCCACACCTTCGAACGGTTCCACAAGAAAGTGGGACCCATCCCTTCACACCAGGGTATGTCTAATCCAGTTACAATCTCCATTGGTATTTCAAAACGTATGCCGAAAATCCACGCCCGTTATCGAACTTGTTGGAGAGAGATAGGGTATAGATGATCGTGCAGTCGTCTCTGACGGGATCAAGCACAGCTTGCAGGCAGCGCCTATATTAGCATAACGAAATGACAATTTGCCGCACAGTGTTGTTTGCGACGCCTCCGACTTTGCGATCGGATGTGAGTTGCTGCAGCACAATGTTTATGGGCAAGAATGTGTCATCTAGAATTAGTTGAGGCAGCTGAAGGCAGCTGAAGGCAGCTGAACGGAATTACACCGTACACGTCAAAGAATTGCTAGCAATGAAAAATGCTTTGGTGAAACAAGGAGTTCACCTCTTGGGTTTTAAGCCATTCGTCGTTTATACCGATCACACATCGCTGCGTACAGCGACTGAAACGTCACATTATGGCCTTTTGATTATCATTTTTTCGGAAAACAACTTATATATACCAAACAAATTGATTAGTAAATGCCTTATCTCGGCGTCCAGATTACAAATTATCCGTGGTTTTGCTAGCTACTTCCAGCGTGTTCGACTTGATACGACAAGCCTTATCAAACGACTCAGCTTGTGTTGTTCTTCTTTAGTGGTTGGCAACAACGGATTATACAGCCTTATCGGCAATATCTCCTCGAATTCGCGATCATTCGCGTTGATACTCCGTCTAATACGGGTTACTGTACTACAAAGTACATGAAGAGGATGACTCTCGGGTTGTCGTACCTGATAACGGAGACATGAAGATCAAATTGGTGTATGAAGTACACGCTGCGCCTATCGCTGGCCATCTTGATCGAGAAAAGACTTATGCAGCGCTCGCATATCACTTTTGGTGGCCCAAAATGTATGCTTGAGTTGCAAAGTACCTTCGTACGTGTAACAGATGACGGCATGTAAAGCCCTCCCCACACAGTCAGACTTCATTGCAAAGTCCGCCATACCAGCAGATTGCTGGCGGTCCGTCAGTTTTAGACTTTGATTCGTGTTAACCATGGGCATAATGGTGTTCTGATCTTTGTAGACAGGTTGGGTAAGATGGTGCACCTCGCACCAACGGTTGATTTTGTTGTTGATGAGCCGAGCACACGATTATTCCTCGATCATGCATGGCTTACCATGGTCAATCGTGTCCGATCGTGATACGCGCTTTTTAAGCGGACGTTTGGACAGCCTCATCTCGCCTATTAGGTTATCGACTTGAGATGACCATCAAGGACAATCCAGAGATGGATGGTCAAGCCGAACGCGCAAATCGCGTTGCAAATGACAATCTACGCAGTTTTTGTGCATCGTCGCCGACGACATGGAGCGATATGATGATATGCTCACGATGGTCGAGTTTGCCATCAACAATGCAGTCCATGCTTCAACTGGCTTTACGCCATTGTACATTAATGTTCTTCACCATACGGCATTGTCTCTTTGTCTCATGGGGGACAAGCAAGATTCTTGCGAGGGGGGGGGCTCAGCAAGCGTTTGCCTCCCAACTTACTACAAAAAAGAAGCGTCAGAATCGTCTAAGTGTTGACAAGTTCATGACCGAAAGAGCAAATGGTATCGCACGCGTACACGATCCTGTGGTGGAAGCGCAAAATTTACAAAACTCTTATGCTGATACGCATAGTCGGAAACACACATAATTCAAAGAAGGTGATTATATACTAGTCAGTACCAAGAAGATGGCCGACGCTGCCTTCTCTAGTCCACCATCTTTCAAGCTCCTTCCCCAACACATCGGTTCATTCTAGGTCTTGATTTCTTCTCGAAAATACATATACATTGGGCTTACCAAGCTGGATCCGAATCGATCCGACATTTCATATCGGCTTGCGCAAACATACCTTAGCGATTCCCCGTATCGTTGTATTGTACGAACGATGTTGATGGCAGTCCGATGACGGATATCACGGCTGAGGACGTTCGCATCGTGAAACGTAAGGACCGAATCACTCTGTGCCACAGCACTCGTGACGATGCTCTTATTCACAAATGCATTGATCCTCGGCGTGGAGCCGAGCGGCTACCGTTACAGAGGAGACATCGCGGCATGAAAGTTAACCTTCTTATGGCGAACTTCATCCCACAATGATTTCGATGCCTTCGTCATTTGATAACACAACTTTGCGACAAATATCTTCGAATTGATAACATCAATATATGATTCTGTATTCTTACAATCACGGATTGTCGGCAATTCTTCCATCGTAAAAAATGGATCTTACGATAAATGAGCAGATCCTCTTTGTGGTCTTTTTTGTATTTTCTCCCTTTTCTTTGATTTTCTTTGATTTTTTCTCGTATTGTTCTTTCCATTTGTTGTATGACGTTCTGTCAGTTCCGCCAGCAATGGATTTGACTTGAGACCCAGATGGATTTAATGATGCTTGGAAATTCCCCAAGCATTGAACACCAAATGCACCAGCTAGATCAAATCGATCTTTCATGGTATGAAGATAGCACAGATATGTGTTATGCATCAAACCAAGATCGAGGTGTTGGATATGATACAACATGCCAGCCAATTACCGCGTGTTGTTACTATTACGATGCCAAGATTTCTTCATCATGCAACATAGCTTCTATAGACGCTGCTTGTATAGTCCGTTTGACACGCAATACACTACAAAAAAAATTCAATTTTTTCGCAAAGCCCTAAAAACGATTTTGTCCCCATCTGATTCAAAGTAAAAACGCTTACGCGAGGTTGCTTTGCCAGCTTTTCAAATTTCAAACTGGATTGGTGAGTATAACCCTAAAAGAATAGTACTTGTGGATCTACATTCTTAATAAATTGATGTTTAACTGTATTTCCATCGCGAGTTTGCGCCAAGCATTGATTATTACAGAAAAGCTGAGAATGTCTTTATTTCCTAATTCAATTTCACGTAATGCCTAAGTCGAATTTAAATTCTTTTGAATCCAAATTATTTGCCTCTTTATATACAGCGTTATTCGCGATCACCTGTGCGACTGTCAACTCATCGAATTTGGGCACATTGCTTATTTCACGAGTCGTGGCTTCGACGGCCTTGATCTCTGATGAGACTGGTGTATCAACCTCAGCAAAGTCTTGGGTATTGACTTGCGACGATATTTCTTCTAGTATATAAGTCTCATCGAGAATAAATTCGTTCTAAAATATTTATTGGATGCTTACCACAACGACCCTTCTAAGGTGATAGCTTATACTGCTCCCCATTGCTTTAAGTCTTGGTTTGGCAATGCCACCATGTTGACACCTTAGTAAAATTTGTCTACGTGTGTATTTTTTGTATCCTTGGTCGAAATAGAGGGTGTTGAATCTGTCGAGCAATAATTCTGGTGTCCCGAATTGAAAAAAACATGACTGCTACCACAAAACTGACCACCACTTCACACGAATTTTCTCCAAACGCGTTTTTATTCTTTGTTAATTGGGGAAGAGTGTCATACGATCCCTCAATCGTGTTCGACAGCTGGCTTGAATAATATTAAAGCTCGTTTTGCGCAACTCCATATGGCTATCCGTTGCGGTTCCAGCATTTATTTGTAGATTTAGCGACATAAAGTAACGCTTGAGTTGAAGACTCGACCGTCGCTGGAGCGTCCCGGCTTCACAGTCTTTGTACACTTGTGCTAACGACTCAGGAGTGTTACTCAAACTAAGTGTCAATAAATCTGGTTATCCACACGTCCAGAATTGTGCTCATTGCTGTAAATACCAAATAGATGCCAAAAAAGTAGCATACCCATACATTAGAGCCACTATATATACATCCCTTATCGTCTTCTGGATCTTGTCCACAGATATTAGTGACGGCTTAAAGTACTCTGGCAATGAGAGATAAAATGGTTTGTACTCCGATGGAGTAACTGCCTTCACCATAAGATGTTATCGACAGAGAATGTAGATATATTACCTTCATCCCCATCGTCGGCATCAGAAACAACCACGATGAGTGTCACTCTTTCATCAATCTCTGCCAACGAGCCCCGAGAATACGTAGCCACACTCTTCGCGTCGAATGCTGTGAGATCGGACGTGGCAATCCCTGCGAGGTAACTGTCTTTGTACTTCTCTTTCGCCGCATCTCGAAATGTATCGACAACCTCAACATCCACGGCAATGAAAGAAGCCAACGTCATCGCGTTCCCATCTTCAGCGACCCATTTTCCTGCTGGGCGACGGCCAGTGATAGTCGACAAAATCAATGCGTCAACGCAAGATATCGAAATGGATAAGGTCGAATTAAAGCGCATAAAACTCTGGTGCGACCTCTAGCACTCGAAGACTGGATAGCAACTGGGCAAGAGCTGACAGAATATCCTTACCTGCGATAATTGAGGATAACCGCTTGATGTTTTGTCCAGGCACAGAGCGGCCAAGGCGTTCTCGGGAGCCAGTTTTATTACTGGAAGACGGCTCAGAGCTGGATGATGAAGGAAGGGAGTAAATAAATTAAAATGTCACGGTCTTCGAAGCGCCCAAAAGTCGACGAAGATGGATTATTTGCCAAAGCGGTGTTGGCGTAGGCAAGAACTGACTAGGTCTCTGACATTCCAAACACATACGCTGATGCAGTTGAAAGTTATGAAGTAGCATGGTGAGCAGCAGTGTAGACTGAATTTCTATCACATGAATGAAATAGCACATAGGCTATTGTATCGCGCAAAGATGCTCTTCCAATTAGATGTCGATGGCTTTTGCTACGAAGCGTGTTGAGAACGGCAGAGTCATTCGCCGCAAAGTACGGCTTGTCGCAAAGGGGTCTGAACAAAAGTGCGGTTTAGATTTTTTTGAAACGTAATCCCCCGTAACGAACACGAATATGATTTGGGTTGTCTTGGCTAATCGCGTTGCAGACGGATATGACTGGATGCAGACACTGCGTTTCTATATAGTGAGCTAAATGACCGAGTCTATATGTAGATACCACCTGGAGTTAAGACTACTGGAGAACATGTTTGCTTGCTGAATAAGGTCATTTAAGGTTCAAGACAAGCAGCTAGCGTCTGGAATAGAATAAATCATGGCGTCTTCGTTTCGAATGTGTTCAAAGATTGTCGCTCGGATAAGTGCGTGTATGTAAAGCTCCCTAAGAGCGGAAACATTTACGTGTGCCTCTACGTAAACGATATGATAATTGCAGCCGAAACCAGCGCAGAGATCCGTGAAGTCAAAGATGTCATCAAGAATGTTATTCTAATAAAGGATCTTGGTGTCGCAAAGCTTATCTTGGGCGTGGAGATTGTTCACGATAAGAAGGCTGGAACGCTTATGCAAATGCGTTACATTGACGATGTTACACAACAATTCGGTCAGCAGAACGCCAAGACGATCGATAAACCATCTGCCATCAATCTCAAACTTTCTAAAAATTGATTGCCAGGAACAGATGCAGAAGCTACTGAACTGTAGTCAAAGCCATATCGCTCTTGCATCGGCTGTGTTATGTCCATAGCAACATGCACTAGAACGGACATTGCCTACATAGTTACGCAACTATCAAGATTTCTCGAGCATCCTGGAATCCAGCATTGGTAAGCCGCGATTCGTGTGCTAAGATACTTGAAGATAGTGCACTTGCATGGAAGTGAATGAATAAAGGAAAGACCAGCAACATTATGGTTGAAGCACTCACGGAGGCAGAAGGGGAAGCAACATCGACGACAGACGCTCTGTATCTGGCGTGATGGTCAAAATAACAGAAGGACCGGTGATGTTCAAGTCGAAAATTTAAGGAGCTGTGGCATTGAGTTCTGCAGAATCTGAGTACATAGTACCAAGCCTGTGCACCCAGGAAGTTTTGTGAGCGTGCGCGATGTTGAAAGGCATGGGCAAAGACCAGAATCAAGCAACGCAAGTTTGGGAGGATAACAAAGCGGAGATAGCACTGGTCCATAAATGCGAGATATTAGGTCAGAAGAATCATGTCAAATCGTGGAGGGAGCCTACCCTCCGCGAGGATGAAACGTTTAATTTTTCGAATGTGCCTGCTCCTGGAGAAAATCGACCAGCTTAATTATTAATTTTGGGTCCTGGTTATAGAGCAGAAAGCGATAATTGCTCACCTGGAGGTGCTGACCAGCTTCATCATTGCGCTGGTGAGACAATTCCAGGGGCGCCTTGACGGGGCTAATGGAGATACAAATGGCTCCCACCATGAGGCCAATGATATGGACCTAGACATCGGGGAACCTGAAAGAAGAATAATTTTCCCACTGGATTAGATTGTGGTTATGGATTTTGACTTGCTCTAAACAAAGTGACAGCGCGTTGCGATGATGATCCTCAAGCTAAAAAGCCGAGCGCGAGAGTGAGCACTCACGTACAATCTCTCTGTAAAGAGGCGTTCACAATATGGGATAATTTTAACAATATATGGCACGGATATTAGCATCTTCTAGGCATATTCGATGCATTTGAAGTTCTTCTCCTCTTCTCTTTTCTTTTTTTCTCTTCTCTTCTCTTCTACGTGATACGTCAGCGTAGGTACCAGACGCAACCTGTGGTGCGCTGGTGAATGATTGAGAAGCATGAAGCTTTAGAGCTCAAATATCGTTTTATCGAAGCGTACGACTGCATGTCTACATCATTATGCCTGATCTCGAGACCAATTAAATTACAATACTATTTCATACGACAATTTGCATGTAGTGGTGGCCAACGGTAAAAAATGTCACTGCAGAATAATGTATGGGGTACATGATACTAACCACCTCAAAAGAGCAAGATGCAGCCAGGCTACCGTAGCTCTTCGCTTAGAGGAAGCTGAGCAAAGGTCCCCGACCTTAAGTTCTATACTAGAGCCAATCTAGGTGTAACAGATCGCAATCCGCTAACTCCAAGAGAGCCCACAACCTTAACCAAAGGCAAAAAAACTCTTTCGTTCAAACTGAACACTCTATTTCTTTTGTTATATTTGCGGCAGAGCCGCCTATATCTAAATCTATAGGTTTTCTAGATTAATTAGTAAATCAAATAGAAATACGTAACTACTGGCTGTAACAGGGTTATACGTACCCTGGTTAAAGAGTGAGTCCCACAAGATGGCGTGACCGTACAAAGGTGGGGATTACTCAAGACGGTGTGATCATTTGATTGTGTGGCTACACCGTAAAAAGAAGTCACACCGTGGCGGGACTTCCAGTAATTATGCAATATTATTAGGTATTACTACTGTCAGCCCGGTACACTCTCCACCATCAAATTTGTGAAAACAACAACTCACATTTAATTGTCGCCTCGTACAAGGCTCGCGTGTCTAAGACATCTTTTCGTCCTCAGGACCTTCTTCACACATTCTGTACTTGATGAGCCCTGTGTCCGTGACACGAAAGGCACCCGGGCCCGCTGGCCGAGGGTTGATGTTGCAGCTGTCGCGGGTGTCCTTGCCACCTAACCAGGCATATAGCGTGCGATCGCGTTATCTTGCAGCCCGACAGGGCAAGATAGAATTTGTAAATTTTGTCCAAGAGTTGTGTACTCTCATTGCCGGGATGGCAGCCAATCCACTCGCCGAGGCGTTCACAGTGACGGTATTTATGGAGGGTCTTCGCAGTGGCGTTGTTTGAATGGTAGTCTTCCATGTGCATCCGTACTCTTTTGAGGAAGCAGTGAATGTGGCATTGAAAGCCAGATTGAGCTTTATGTCGGCACGACTTGGATTGAATGCACATCCTCATAGCTCGTCAAATGGACCTTAGCTATGCTGGAAATATGGGGGAGAGCTCCGAGATGCCGCGCAGCTTTCGAACACCCGACGATGTTTTGTCTGTGGAGACACCCATCACCTTCGAAATGGTTGTTCCCTGCGCAAGGCTCGGCAAGGCTCATAAAACCGACGCCCAGCTTCTCACCAATCTTCTGGTTTGTCGCGGAGTAACGACAACAATCAGTAGGCATTAGGCGCCCTATGGAAGAACTGAGTTCAGTTGTGCCTCTAAGAGGTGGAGGGCAGCACTGTCCATCCCAGTAGAGCTTTGTGCTCTTGATCACGGAACATGTATGAAAGTCAGGCTTGCTGGTCATAAAAGCGATCGTGAAGGATTTTGAGAGGCCAATAGAAGAATCTTATCGATTCCGGGGCGTCGGGCAATTATGCTCGACGCTTCACATTCGAAAGAAGTCAGCTGAATGCTGAGTAAATTACCTTCATTAATTTTGATTTACCTAATCAACAGATAAAATAAGAGGCAAAGTATGCATGTTCCTACATACAAGACATGTGGGCGGCCATGTCAGTGACCAGTAGCTATTTTCCCCGGTGGCGGGTTATAGCTAATATTCGAGTGCGCAGAGAGCCATAGGCTGGTAAGGTGCAGAGAGTTGACTTGGTCGGATGGCACATGAATGTGCCTTGAAGATTGAGAGGTTTTGCTGCGTTGAATCAGTAAGGTGCTCCTCTTGGAGGAACAGCTAAATGTCTATCTAGCCCAAAGTTCTACTTCACGAGTTTGACTTCTGAAAGCGAAGTCAATACTGAGCGCTGAAATGTGCCATATGAGTGGATAAGGTACCGATTGGGAACTTGATGTCGATGCGCGCGCAATTAAGTTCATCGGTGTTACATGCTTAATCTGGACACTGGTCCGCGAAATACTTGAGATCCATATTGCGATGGTAACTTCTTGTAGCTTCCCGTAACCAAAACTCCCGCAGAATAAAAGGTAGTCCCACTATTTCGGTCTGGATTTCGGTCCATTCGAATAATTGAATCGGCGTTCCACGCTGATTTTCCCCGTACGTAATACAATATAACACACAGAATAGCCTTACCGTTTTCCATGGTGACAACACTTTGACTTCAGTTCGCCTTCGTAGTTCTGCGAGCTTATGATTGATACATGGTGCGAAAACGGCACGATATCTGTTTTTGTAACATTGAGTCGTGAACCAGTAGATCCGCATAGTCCTGAACGAGACCAAAAAACTCATCGAGATCAGACGACATTCCGGTGCAGTCGTCAGAAAACGCTTGTAACAGATGGGGGTGTTTTTATGTCGTCTACAGGAACGCCTTTTAGAGATATCTTTGCGCGATGAAAGACCATTATTGGCTCGGTGAAAACAGCGAAAAGACCAGTTAGTAAAGGATCTCCTTGTCCAACATTTGCGTCCAGTAAAAAGGTTTCACCAGGGTAGTAGAATACTGTAAAAAAAATTGTAGAAAGTCTTCACCCATGCACAGAAAGTCGCACCATATCTTAAGTGGTGAAGCACCATATCCAAAGCAGGGCAAAGGACGCTATCAAACGTT